GATAGGGAATTATTAGCAGAATGGTTTAGAGGCCACTGGTCTACTCACTTGAAGAGTTCAGGAGTGAGCTGAAGGTTGAAATGAGGAGGGATGGCAGGCCTTGGTATCCTGGAGGGAGTGCTGTCTTGGGAATGCAAGTCTGTCCATTGCCTCAAGTTCATAGGCCAATGGGAAAGAAAATGAGTCTTATCAATAACCCTAAACATGAGTTCATATACAAATCATAAATACATGGATAATAAGTCCATATTTTATCCTCACAACATCCTCATGAAATCTAAAGAACTAATTTTATAAAAGAGAAACAGAGATCCAGACAAGTCAAATCAATTAAAACATATCTAGGAGTCAAAACTAAATCTTCTAACTTCAATCTGTGTCCTTAATTTTGGAGTGATAATGGTATGTTTTGTTGTTTGTAGTGGATGTACATTCCTATTTAAGATATGTAGACAATAATTTTTTTGTCCTAAGTTAAATAACAAATAACAATTAGGTGTGGGTTTCTAGAGCAGACAAGCAAATTGTAAATTAGTGGGAATTAACCATAATTTTGTAGGTACTCAAAAAGAGATCGGAAGTATACTTAACCAAAACAGATAAATCTTTGGTGGTGTTAAATTACTGGCCTGGATCAGCAGCCTGACTTCTCAGTGTTCTAGATACCCAAAGTTAAGATTGTCTAACTTTCTGGTAACTAATCAGACACTGACTTACCATGCTGGCACACTGCAATGTATTTTAGGTAAACCTAGTGTTAGCCCTACTTACTGTTGGGAGAAAATAATGATGATAGTATTTTCACTGGCTCTTTTCTTCATTGCCAGCCAGCCTATGTTTAGAAGAGTGATTATATTCTGAGGAATGCTTGTGTAACATCATGAAGGCTAATTGTTGTTGTTCATTTAATTTACGGCTCCTCCTACCTAAGTCATTATGATTTGCAAACATTTGTTAGAATTTGGAGCACTAAGCCCATTTGACTGCATACCATTTGCAAGGGGGAAGATCTCAGTGTCAAGCATGGATTCTTAGCTATGAATCAGGACTAGAAGGTGCAGAAAGAATGCATGAAGAGTCAATCAGTAGATTAGGCCTGGATGCTGGGCACCGGTCACGATGCATCAACATTGAACCCATTAGGTTTCATGGATTTTGCATTCTTCGCACTCTCTTTAGAGGATCACTGATCAGTTAGCAGGGCCCAAGGAGAATGGAGGCAAAATGGAAGGCTTCCTTCAGCTCGCTAAGGGCAGGAGAACAAGGCCAGAGGCATAAATTAAAAGCAAAGTCAATAAGTCTAAGTAGACTGTGATAGTCTCAAAGGTATGAGACTTCAAAGCCACAGACTTGTTATTATATTTGTCATGAAGCAATAAATACTTTGAAATTGAAAATACATCCTCCTTTTTAAGGGAAGACTCCGACTGATTGGAGCAAAGATTAGCCGATTGCAAGTGTGACACAGTTGTGATTCATTGTCAAGAGTAGATTACGCACACTAGTAGTTTCTTTAGTCATGACAGTTTAACCACTCAAAGTAAACATTTTCAAAGTGGTTGCATAACAAACTGGTGGTACTATATTTTTCTTAATTTCTACCTAATATGAAGAGGTCAAAAGTAGAATTGCAGAACAAGTTGTTTGTGTGTGAGCTGGGATAATTTTGGCATCACGCTATAAGAATGGTTCCTTCTACAGAGTCTATAAATGGAATAGAAGGTCTGTTGCAGCTCCACAATGTGGGACTTCCACAGTTCCACAGTATGCTGTTCCACAGTATGGGAGGATGAATGAGTTTCTCAGATGTTCTCAGGTCATTCTTATAAGAAGAAACTCTACTTCCTTATTATTGCTACTGCTCTGAACTTGCAACAGGAAATTTCTTTCTTGAGATACCTGATTTACAAATCTGCAGACTTCTACACAAGAACATTCCTGCTCTGACAGTTACCCTTCCGGAATATTGATGGGAGAATCCACTCAAGTCTCCAAGTCCACTGGGAAGAAGGATCGATGATTAGAAACCCAGGAGATATTTGTGAATAACTCAAGACCATTGGCTGCTCTCATGCTGTTTTCTTGCAATCATTGCTATAGCAAGTCAGTCCATGTATTTGACTGTGGATGTTTTACCATCCTGGGACACAAGAATTAAATGTCATGTGGCTGTTCACAATATATGTATTCTCGCAACAGAAAGAGGAAACAGGTCATCAACAGTATCACAAAATGCCAGCACTCTGGGTCTTCTCACTTCTACAGTTCTTTAGTACCTATTGAAATGGTTGGCTGACTAGAAAACTTCTGGAATGTTGTTTAAAACAACTGAGTCTCACTCTGAGCCAAAGGATTTGTAGACACGTTAGAATTTTACCATGAGCATATCTGACTTTCAAAAACATATATGGAAGGACTGCTATATATACGAATGTCTGTTTACAGTCAGTCCTTGATCCGTTGTGCTGTCATAGGGCTTGATTGACATTGGCCTGGTCCCTGACTGGGTAAATATTTTTGAGTTGAATTTTATGATAAATGCTTTGGTTTTTTATTCAAAGCCACTATGAAAAAGAAGCACATAAATTTCCTTACTGTTTATGTACAATATATTGTTGCCTTCCATCCAAGATGTCTTGATATGAAACATGAGTGAAAAAATGTTCTCTTTGAAATTAGTGCTAAGAAGAGCTTTGCTTCCCTTCAGGAACTATCAGCCCCTTTTGCAAATGGCAATTATGTAACTGGTTGGGGCACTTGGCTACTGAGCTCAGAGGTTTAATTTGGTTACTCAATGGTATGTTTACTCTTACCTGAATGTTTTTCCTTGGATCCTAGTGTATACTTTTAAATATATATATTTTTTTAATTTACTGTGCCGGTCTTATGGAGTTATTCAAACCCCCCATTCAGTGAGGTGCTGGTATAAGTACACCAAAATAAGAATAAAATAAGAAATTTTTAAAAAGGGATCAAGTTTGGGAATAAAATAAAATGATACCATGGAATTCCCATGAAATTACTTCCTCACAACTTAAATCAATGTATTGGAGTTTATGGTTTGGGAATTCCTGGAACTCCTTTTTTTTTTTTCCCCATTCTGATTGAGTGCAACTTTGGGAAAATTAACTGAAAGCTCTACCCAAGGGAGAAGTCAATGTTAAAATTCTAAGGGATTTGCTATGTCATCATTTTTACCACAATCACAGCATGTTAGAATTTTATGTACCGAATACTTTCTTTTATTTACTTTTTATTTTTTGAATACTTTCTTGTTAGATAAACTAGGGAAGAAATAGTTTGAAAGCATCAATTAAGCATTTACCTTTTTTCCCCATTAATGTATGAGAAATTTGACACTTATATCTGTAAGTGAAATTAGTAGGGAGAGAATTTTGGTCATTCTTGATGGCAAAACTTCAGGTAGTGAAATATTTTAAAATATTGGAATGGGTACTATTATTTACATGGTTAAAAATTCAAAAAATACAAAATTATATCTAGTGAAAAGTTTCTCTTCAAATCCTGCCCTCCAGCTGTCCAGTTGTTTCCTTCCTAACATGCAACCAATCTTAACAGTTTCTGATATCTTTTCAGAGATAGTTTATGCTTATACAAACAAAAACACACACACACACACACATTTACATACAGGTGTATATAATTCCCTCCTTTTAATAGAAAATGTAGCGTACTATTAGGTAATTGTTTTTCATCTTTTAAGAATTGTGCACATAATGTATCTTGGAGATCAGTTCAGAAGAGTACAAAGAGCTTTCACTTTTTTTAGTTTTTTAATTACTAGAACATAGAGCAGTGCTTATTAACATTGCAAGTAACACATTGTTCAAATGAAAATTTTCTATTAGTTTTTCTTTTTTTCTTCATTCTTTTTCTTTTAAAAAGATTTTATCTATTTATTTGAGAGAGGGCAAGAGAGAAAGAGAGAGCGCGCACAAGTGTGTGTGGAGGGGTGAGGGACAAAGGGAGAGAGAGAAGCAGACTCCCTGCTGAGCAGGGAGCTCATGACCTTGATCCCAGGACCCCCAGATCAAGATCTGAGCCAAAGGCTCACACTTTACCAACTGAACCACCCAGGTGCGCCTCTTCATTCTTTTCTTAAGCCTTCATAGGATGTCATTTATGGCTGTTTTGTAACTTGCCAGTGCTTTAAAAAAATCTATAAAACAATGAATGTTGGAACACTGAGAAAAAATAAAGCAAAATAAAATTTTAAAAAATCTATACTTTTTGGGGTGCCTGGGTGGCTCAGAGGGTTAAGCCTCTGCCTTCAGCTTAGGTCATGATCTCAGGGTCCTGGGATCAAGCCCCACATCAGTCTCTCTGCTCGGCGGGGAGCCTGCTTCTCCCTCTCTCTGCCTGCCTGTCTGCCTACTTGTGATCTCTCTCTGTCAAACAAATAAAATCTTAAAAAAAAAACAACTATACTTTTTTTCAATCTTTTGTTATTATAAACAATGCTGAAATGGATAAGCTTATACACATCTACCATTTCTTGGGTGTGTTAAGATCAATTCTTATGTGTAGACTTACTGACTCAAAGGACATGTGCATTTACAATCTTGTTCGGTAGCATGACTTGCTCTCAGTGGAGTCATTCTGATTTACATGCACATCTGCACTGTGACTGCCTGTTTCTCCACACTTTGCCAGCACACAGTTGTGATCCAACTTTCTAATCTGTGTGGTTCTGATAAATGAAAAAGTGTTTTTTCAATGTGGTTGTAATTTGCATTTTTCTAGTGCAGGAAAAAAAATTATGCTTTTTTTGTTGTTGTTGTTGTTAAGGACAAAGGATCCCTAAATTATGTGGAGTATAATCTGACCCTTAATACTGTTCTTAGAGTCTGTAGCAGGTTAACATTGGAGTTCAGAGATCAAGAATATGGCAACATGCCCAGAACCAAGATGGAAAGAAAAGTCAGCAGGCTCCATTTCAAGCATATTTGCCTTGATAAAGTCCCTGAAGATGTCCCTAGAAGGTAACTTCTGTTTTTATGAACATGCAATTAGAAGGTAAGTTTCAGATTCCCCAATGACCACAAAAGTTGCTTATAATTACTTAGGAGAGGTGGGTTTGTTTGTTTGTTTTTTTTTTTCCCTTTGCTTCAATCTATCTCTTAGAAAAATGAAGTAAAACAGGTTCTGTATTTATAGATAAAACTAAGCTACACAATAGAACTGTAGGGGATTGGACAGAATCATTTGGGTCACATGAGGGTTATAAAGATTAAATGATATGTTTAACACTAGGACTATTCTGTTTAGGAAGGAGGCATATTGCTAATTAGCATAATTGCCTCATGACTTGCAGTAACTATCAGTACGTTTGTTTTTCTGATTTTTTGTTTGTTTGCTTGTTTTTTTTTTTTGGTGTTTTTGCATAAGAGAATCATTCAGTGGTGTTTAGTGCTGTATCTCTTTAAAAATAATGATATCCGTAGGAAGTCATAGATGTGTTAGTTACATGTCTGTCTTTGCAGCAAGTACTTCAAAAGCAAGTTGGCACACAGCACAATAAAAAAGACAAGATCATGAGTTAGGCCAGATGGATTTGCACTACCTCTCACTAGTTGTGTGACCCTGAGTAAGTTCCTTGACCTTTCTGAGCTTCCATTTCTTCAGCTGAAATACGGAGATAATAATCTGACCTATTTACCCCGGGTCTTGTTGAGGAAATACTGGGACATTGTAATGTGGAAAGGCTTTGCAACTATAAATGGCAATGCATCTGTTAGTGGATCTAATGTTGCTAGTATAGAAAACTTAGTCAAACACAATACCCTCGGATTAATTCTCTGAAAAAGTCTCTCTTAAAAAGCTTTTTAGCAAATCCAAACTGGTTTATTATTATTATTATTATTATTATTATTATTATTATTACTATTTTTAATTTGGGCCCAGGTCGTCTGACACTTAATGGCTCAATAATCTTACATCTCTCGCAAGTGGAATAGCATCTTCGGGACAGCGTTGAATTAAAAATATGTCTATAGAAGAAAATATTTTATGAGCCTAATAGATGAAATATAGATGAAATTCATTCCGTTTAGCAAAGAAGGACTTCATCTGTGTTTAGAGAAAAGTGGGTCGGGCCTCGTTTATTATCTCCCTGGTGTTGTATTCTTTCCACTTCGTATTCCAAGATCTAACAGCTGGAGCTCATTTCTTTAACCTTTAATAGGTGTGTGCTAATAAACTTCTTAGTAGTCCGAAGATAAAACAGACCAGGAGTCGGACACTCGGAAGAGACAATCAGTGCTGGTTCCTAGCAAACCTCCGCCCTGATAAGTCTGCAACCTCCCGACTCCCTACCCCCACTCCTGGCCCGCCCTCGCTGCAATGCCCCACGGCTCGCTGGAAGCCTGAGGGCTCGCAGGGATAACAGGGGGCAAGAGCCGCAGTCGGCAGAACTCCAGTCGCCCTCGGGGGCCTGCGTGGTTCGGGGACGCGCGGTTCAGCCAGGTGCGCTGGCAGCCGCCGCTGGGCGCCGCGTTGCACGTGGCAACAGGTGCAGCGCAGTCCTGGGCTGACGCCCCGGGCCTGGGGCGCGTCCGCATTTAGCCTGGGAACGTGCGGGGCTTCGGGATCCGGACGCGGGAGCGCCAGAGAAAGGAGTGAACGGGGCTGGTCGAAGCCGCCAATCTGCCGAGTAGAGCGGAGACGAGCGGAGCGCGGCGGGAGTCTCCGGGGTCTCCGTGCCGAGGTACAGCCACGCGCGTCTTCCCGGTTTCTCCGGGCGCAGCCCCCCTTGAACGCCGCCTGCCCTTTGTCTCCAGCAGCTAGGTGCAGGCTGGGGCAGCTTGGAAGGGGTGGCAGCGGGCGAGCAGGGTAGAGGCGGCGGAGCTTTTCTATTTACAAGTTTCCCGAACTCCCCGCCTTTGCTCCACCCCCAGCCGCTCGAGAGGCGGGGAGGCTGGGGCGCCCCGGACTCCGGGTTCCCGCCTGGCAGCTGCCGCGGCTGCTGGCGTGCAGGGGTGGGGTGAGGGACGAGCCGGGTGTCCTCAGGTGCAGACGTTGCCCGCCGGGCACTGATTGCACCGCGGGTCTCCGTGGTGGGGCGGGGGGGGGGGGGGAAGGTGCTGAAGCGCCTCCGCCCGGGATCCGAAGAGCGCCGGGGCTCTCAGTCCGGGTTTCCCCTACTCTGCGTCTTGGCTCCCGGGAGAAGGAGGAGGAGGAGAGGGAGGAGGAGGAGGAGGAGCTGCGGGTAAGTGCGGAGTTGAGAGGATTGCCGCTGCCCAGCCTGCCTGCGGTGGAGATCTCGGGGCGGGGTGGGGGTGGGGGGGCGAGAGGTGGGTAGGACAACGTGAATGCGACCGTCATAGGGTGACGGAATTAGTTTTGAGGGGGGGCGGGTATTCTAGGGGCTTGGGTGCCAAAGTTGGGGGAGAAGTGGGTAGACGACCCCACTGGAGCGGAGGCTGCGGAGATCGGGTCTCCTGTGGGGTTCGCGCAGCTGGTGCCGCGGGGACCGATGCGGATCGCAGTAGCTGTCACCTTGAAAGTGACCGAAGGGGTTTACAGTAGACCCAGACTGACAGGCATATGCTTGCGGCCGGAAGCCGCCCACCAGATACTTGACCCGCCAGGGCCCCGCAGTCCCAGCCTTCTCCGGTTGCGGTTCGCTTGGGCCCATTCTCGGCATAAGCAGTCAGGGCTGAAATGTGGCATTAATGAGGTTGCTGCAATTCCCAAGGTCTTCTCGTCCCGAGCCTTACTACTTCCTGCGGCTTACTTGCGCTTTCCTAGCTCTCTAGAAAAATCCACTCCTAAGTAAAAGTCACCTGATCGACTACTACTCTACAGTAATTATGGGACTTATTTTAATTTTTTTTCTCCTTTTCTTTCTCAAGATGTACTCTTGGCAAATAACTAAATGGTTTGTTGACTTTGACTTAGCATAATTTATTTTGGAGTGAGAATGGAGAGATTAAATCATTCAGCCTGCATAAAGTTTCACCTACTCTGTTAACTGCTGTTGACTATGTAGCAGTTTGTGTGCTGAGAAAGGAAATCCAGTGTGTTTAACTCAAAGTCTTAGGCAAAACGCAGGGAGTAACAGGGTTCCTGTTTTGCCAGGTGATGGGATTTCAATCATCAGCACACTAAATCCTTAGCCCTGGGGGTGGAGGGTGGGGTGCAGGTGTTAGGAATAGGGGGAAGTTGGGCTGGCCCTCAAGGAGGGAGGGGAGTAAAAAGGAAATGAGTCGCTGCTGCTTGGGAAAACTATGACCTCCTTTAGGAGTCTAGATACACCCAGATAGCAGTGTGTGGTTAACCCAAAGAGAAACTGGAGTTTGGAAATGCAATACAGTAGACCAGCCTTCCTCCCCCCCCACCCCCAGGGTTAATTAGGGCAGGAAATGATGGACAATTTAAATTGAGCCTATGATGCCTTATTTGAGTAGTGCTTTGCCATGTGTAAGATGCTCTGATTTTTTTTTCTTCAATACAGTAGTCCATAGGGAAAGTTTAAAAAAAAATGATTAGAACTATTTATCCTTAAAAAAAAAAACCAATGGAATTGAGTTTAAAATAATATATATTACTTACTTGTGCTAACTTTTCCCTCTCTTAAAAAAAATCAGCATTATGGAGAAAATAGTGCTTGCAGAAGACCTGCACCTTTTAATTATATATAAATAATACATGGTTACAATTTTGGATTATTTCATAGCATTATAAAATCCTAGCTAGATTTCTTTCTTGGTATTTCAGTTATTAGATGGAAGTGTTTAGAAAGCATGTCAGGTAATAGCCCTCCTTAGTTGGCCTTGTTCCATGTATGCTTGCTGTATAAAAATGGGTAAATTCAGAAAAAGTAGGAATTAAACAATTCCACCACCCAAATAAAATCCGTGTTTTCTGCATGCTGGTTAATAGATAAATAGATGTATTTTTTACTTCTGTAGTTTATACAGCTATACTGTTGCATGCTGATATATATATATATATATATATATTTTTTTTTTTCCTGCTTAACCTATGAGGGAAAAGTTTGCAGGTCATTACAGTTCTCCAAGAGCTCCAAGAGTCTTATTTTAGTGGCTACATACTATTACATTATATAGAGGTAACAAATTATTTATAAGCTAAACTTTTATTTATAATTACTATTAAATATATACTGTTGCAACAAATATCCCTTATAAAACTTTATCTACAGGGCCTACTTAGGATGGAGTCCTTGAAATACAGTTTTTGGCCAGAGATCTCTTGATACAGATGGACCATTTGCTTTCCAAAAAAAATGTTTTACCCAAGTATGATCCCACCAACACTCTGAGAGTATCTGTGTTATGGTATTCTTGTTAGTAGGGGACTCATTTCTAAAAGGAAAATGAATTCTTCGAGCTTTATAAGTGAACAGTGTTTTCTTGATACCTAAATTTCCAGTTCTTTAATTACAAATCAGTACCATTTTTTTTCTACTGGGATATTAGTATTTTCCAATTTATTAGAACTTTTATGGATTGATAATAAACTTTTACATTTCGTATTGCAGATTTTTGGCTTTGTAAAGATGTCTTGGCCTTATAAAGACAAATACCATGAGTTTATAGTGGTTTTGACTTAGCCGTGTTCTATACTTTCATGTAGCCAAGTCTGCCGACTTTCTCAAAAACAGAAGTAACACTTCTGAATCATAGCTTAAGGACTTGGTGACAGTGGCAAACTTTTAAAAGAATCGACTCCCCTCCTCCCCTCCTCCCATTCTGAGTAAGATTCCTTTCAAATCCATTAGAACAACCTCCATGTCCTAGAGTAGAGACCATTGCAAACCAGATTGGGTTTGTTGATAAGACATAGTTATGTACACTATATATATATATATATATATATATATATATATACACACACACACACACACACACATTATAGTATATATAAATATGGCATATTTATATATACTACATATGCTATATACTACTAGGAACAACATTCTTCAAAGTCAGAGCAAAGTTTTAAATGCCAGGGAATAAAAATGTTTCTGATCTGTTGTTCTGTGATTCTGT